GGCATCGTCGACGATATAAATCACTCACACTGGACTGATCTGAATCTTCACAATACACCGTACTTCCCTGATCATAAGCCCGGAGGCATGAAAACGCAAGGGAAAAGTAAGGGATGAGCTTGTACTCGAGGACCAACTCAGAAAAAAATGATTTTGTTTTGGGGTTAAACACTGTAACCATCTTGCAAACAACGAAAAATTATCCAAAAAAGTTATTCGTTCGCCGGGCTCGGGAAAATAATACTTACTTTTTTAAAAATGAGTCATTGATTTGAACGACACTTACAATGAAGAAACAAACATGTTCATAAAAACACACACATTTTATTACAATACGATTTACATACCGTCTGAATTGACGGTGAAATAACAGGTAGGGTCTGTGAGGAAACAGTGGACGAAGGCTTTTATCATTATCTTCGTTTTGGTATGTTTTCGATCGTACGCAAACTCTCGACGCAAAGCAATTTTCCACCATGAGGTTTTTCAGCACGATTTGACCTGGAACAACTTCCTTTGACATAACAGGTCATGTATTTCATTAACCAATTAAAATGATGTGTCGTAATGATGAAATTTTCCGATTATTGACGATGATTTTTTAACGCAATGCGGAAGTGAATTACCGCAATGTTAAAATGCGATCTGTAGCACTGATTGCAACGAAAAAACGATGATTTTTCCCTAAAAACGAAATTAACGAAATATAAATGACGGTTAATAGTAACCGTGGGTAAACTGAGTGTGGAGGAAGAATTTAAACACCTTTTTCGGTCGCCAACATGTCACATCGTTCTCAAAGTAAACCATGCCCAATAACCAGGTACACGACTTAACGATCACATTTTTGAGCTTTTCGAAAAGCTACTACTCAAAGAAATAGGGATTACTCCGGAATTGCAACATCGGGGTTCATCCTGAGTAAATGACAGAACAGAAAGCATGCGAACCACGTTGTGTACGTTCGCCGTGCACTCTGAAATTAATGCGAGTTTTCTCATAAAACTAAAAGCATGAACCAAACTACCATGCCAATCACGATTATTTTGAAATGAAACCCACCTTTTACACGCATATTATAATCGTGAATGCTCTCAACTCGATAAATACCAAGTAAAAATATAGGGAATGGGCTTCATACTGAGAGGGACTTACGATCGGGGGAAGTACGGTACTTTAACGCAATTGGGCTTTCACTCTCAGCATACTGTGGTTCAAACGCATGAGGCTCTAACCCAAATTTTAAAAAGCACATTGTGCATATAAAAGTTGAGTTTATACTAATAGTACACAATGCTTGGCAGCATGAACGGGCTATGTACAGTGGCGTATACGAATGCGATCAGATACTAAAACGTCATAGCTTTGAAAAGTACCCGGATGTTAAATATGTTCGTTCGTTATTTATTCCCCTCCATGAATGGCCTCCATGGTGTTTAATTGCAAGCACTTCAAATGCCTATCCAAGCTACAGTTATAATTAAAACAAAATTAAACCACTGCAATAGTATTTCGAATACAGTTTAGAATATACACAACTATAAATTAAGGCCGCATTTAGGTTCGCTTTAAAGGGTGGTGGTCATTGCATTTCGCCGTGTCATATTCGATATGTGTTCAATAGCGCTGTATACAACATGTGCAAAATATGTTGTTGATAAAAAAATTGATCACATTTCACAGCGACCATCTTTTAAACTATTTTGAAGCAATGCAGAAATACGTTGTTATGTTGGCATCTACATGTACTAGTCTTTTTGGGGTCAATGCACTTGATTGTGTGGGGTATGCATATGTCAGTCTTCAAGAGCTCTTTGTCCTGCTAAAGCTTGGACCCTCCTGACCCCATAAGTTTTTTGTTGAACATTACCATATTTGCTGTATGTGTAAGTGCAGAAGCGTCATTAGAAGTGCATGTGAACTAATAGTTGCATGTATTGTATACTTGATTACCGGTAATAAAATATTTCATCCAGCGAATACAGTATATGTTTGTTTCATGCAATATACATTATTATATGAAGTAATATATGCCCATTATGATGCAGTAACTGTTCACTGGTCAGGACTATACTGTAAAATACTTTATTTTCGCTTGGAATTAATTTTCGCTGAAGGGATGATTCAGTGAAAATAAAATCCAGCGAATATACCTTTTTTCTATATTTTACATTACATTTTACTTGTCAAAAATCAGTGAAAATAAATTCTATACAAAACACCCAAAATTTCTTTTCAGCAAAAATTAATTCCAGCTGAAATAAAGTACAGTACATGTATTTCTGAAAATCAGAATATCAAATTTAGTCGAAAATCACAAAATATTCATTTTATCTGTGATAAAATTAGTTCCTTGTATCGAAAACTTTGTCTCAGTTGTAGATTGGTTTTGATACGAGTTCTAATATCGTTGCAATTTCTGAAAACATTTACAGAGTTTCCAATGAGAAATTTGTCCATTGTAATGAATGGTAATTTTTACCCACAATGCAATATACATACAATGTATACCCAATAATGTTAAAGTTGATTTTACTCATACATGCACATCTAATTACATTTATTGAGCAGCATCTCCTCAATTATGTGGCAAGATATGATTAAATAATGTCAAAACGATATACTGTAAAAGGCACACCCCTAATAGAAGTGACACCCATTCTTTTTGAACAATTGAGAACAAAAAATTCATTATTTTTTATATGCGCAGATGCTCTCATAGAAGCCACATCTCCTCAATTAATGCAGATTTTACAGTCATAACAATTATATTCTTATATATCTATTTTTTCTTTTCCGGTCCTAAGGCTAGTTATAATTTTTTTTTTAATCTGAGATTATATCAATATACCATGCTTTCAATATTTGCTTCAAATCATTTTCAATACACAGCTTCTCTAAAGCTTTCTCTGACCTTGTTTGTAGCATACATGTGATGAAATCAACAAAAGATCCATTGGTAAATTTATCATCAAATGCTGTGGACATGAAGGAATAGTGGATGAACAGGACAATAGATTGAGACCCCTTCTACAAGGGGCTATTACGCACTTGGATAAAGAAAAAGAGCATGTTTGGAAGAATGCGGAATTAACGTTTTACGACAAGTACGCCAACTGTTTCATCATGAAAGCTGGAGAAGGTCAGAACAAATTCTTGGTACATCTGGATGGTAAAGATGAAATTGAGGTAATTTGTACAGAAAGAGAACCAAGCCGAGTTGGTAAATTCTTCTCGGAAAGTTGGCTGAATCCTTATAAATGGGTTCCTCGTAGTCAAGATCCAGCACTGCCGCCTAACGATAATAAATCTTCAGCTTCATCCAAGTCAGCCACGAACAAGGAAGGTACAAATGTATGAAATTAGTAATATTTCCAGAGAGCAATATATATATATATATATCATACAAATTAAAATGATTGCTTTCCATCATATAAAAAGCATCATAATTGTAGTCTAATTTTTGGTCAATTGATTGAACACACAACAATAGTTTCAATGAGTATGAACTGATTTGCATATTGATGAAGGAATGCCTGTTATGTTGCTGCGAAATAAACGTTTTATTTATACTTACGATGACATGTTCTCATACACTAAGTTTCACTTAGACATGAATGGTTTTCACGGAAATTTTAAAACATTTGCTCCGTTAGTAGCAATAAGTAAGAAAAAAACAATGAAAAGCTAATGTTTATCTACATGTAAACTGATTTTTGTTACAAAGCAAAAAAACTGTTATTTTATTAAAAGTAGGTGGTCACTTTGCACTTAGTTAATTGACAGAGGCATGTCAATGGTCAACTTATGTGATGTTTTAGCAATCCAGAATACATGTTATTTTTGTTTGTTTTTTGGACTTGTATTTAGATTTGCATATAATAGATCAAATATGGTGTTAAACATTTACCGGTATCCTTGAATTACATTCAAATCAGCAGAAGAATTTTCATTGGCTAGCATTTTGGTGAAACCTGTCACCCATAAGTCTCCGCATCTTTCCCTCAATCATACATGAACCATAGATAGACCCAACCAAATTGTATTCAATGCTTCAAACAGATTGTTTGTAGATATCCATTTTAAAAATAACAAGTAGCATTACCACTACAGTTGCGAACCACACCACATATGAATTGTAAAACACATTCATTTTCCGATAGCAGAGAAATTGTCGCAATGAGTTAAAGGACACACTGACCATTGCGGAAGTCTAAATAGCTTTGTGATTAGTAAAATTATTTAAATTTTAAGAATCATTTGAAATTTTAGCGAAGGTTTGAAAATGTTCCATGCCTAAGTGAAACTCAGTGTAGTACAAGTCATAACACATTTTTATAATCCTTTTTTTTTTTAAGTTTTTAAAAACATTTTTGTACATTTCCTGGTTTGACAACTGACTAATAAAGTTTTATTATGGCCAAGTTTAAATATAAAATCAAGTATTTATTAGAAATAAACATGTCAACCTTACAATTATGTGTAAACTTTGTTAATCCATCAGTTCCTAATTTTAAGATGAGCTAGTTGAAAGGGTATGCATGTAATGCTCCTTAAAAATCGAGATGTAAATTTTTTTTTTTTTTAAATATTTTTGTGCCAGGCGACAGTTCTAGACATTGAATGTCACCGTTGTCTCTCCTGACTTTTTTTTCGTATGTGCAAATTGCAAGAGATGTAAAGTTTGCTGCAACTGGAAGTAGTGTTCATGCCACATGTGAAATTAGCATTGTAATTAATTCAAAATGGAACTTATTCTGTCACAGATGTAATAAAATATATTTCAATACCTCATGTATATTGTTTTAATTAATAATACTCGTTCAGATGAGACTGGGACTACACCAACTCATTCTCAGCCTGGTTACCATCTTTTTTATCTGCAATTTACTCAGCTAGGATTGTCCTTATAATCTGTGTGTGTATATGTCTGTGTTGTCTACATGTTTCATTCAAACTTGGCAGGCAGGTCACACCTTCACTTTATTCAGGTGGTAAAATCTGAATAAATTCGTGGCCCACAATTACTGTTTTTTCATTGCCAAGAAATTTGAATGGAAATGGCTTTTTCAACTTTTCAGTGCTAGTCTAAATTGTTATTTACACTTGACTTTAATTGGTTAAAACAGCAGGTATAAATAAATCAACTGCTGACTAGATGACATGGCTTTTTGTCAATGATTGGTAAATTTCTGCGAAGATCACAACAGATCATGAAATTGTATTGATCAGTTTTATTTACCAGCTATGTACATAGATCACCCGTTCACAAATTTCTATTCCGATCATAAAACCATGCATTACTTAACCACTACTGATGTCATCATTCATTGAGTTTTAATAACCAGATAACCATACTACTGGGGTACCAGAGTACACCTGGCCTCTTGTGGACATTATCATTGCACAATATTTCAAAATTTAGTTCAGCAAATGTTCTAGTCCATTAAGTGTTAAACTCCAACAAATAAAGTACATTCCTGAAGTTGATTCTAAGGCAAGTATTGTCAGCTTCAGTACATAGCCTTTTCAGCCAACCAGCTTGTTTGCATGTAAAAAAAATGTTGGCAACATATGGGATTAGCTTTGCCTTACTGTGTCTTGTAATTGGCCTATATGTGTGTTGGTATAACTCTAAATGTAAACGTATCATGAATTATTTTGTAATCACAGACGATAATCGTGATAAATCGGTGTCCAAGGAAAAGCATTCCTGTATGCAAGTGACACAGGACATTCTAGATTAGTGCACACACTAAGATTGTGATTTCTCTTGAGGTTTTAGCTGCAGAACAGATACATGCGATAGTAGAATATTACAATTTGTAACTTACTGTAGAATACTTTATTTTCGCTATTTTCACTGAATGGGTGATTCCGTGAAAACAAGTCATTGAAAATGACACAGTTCCCGTTAAATTTTTGAAAGTTCTCTTTGTCATATTAAAGCGGAGGGGTTGTTGCGAGCGTGTCCTTGAAACTTGAGTTCCAAGTGGCGTATACAACAGATTGTTTATTTACATCAAAACACATGTTCCGTGTAGTAGTAATATGGCCAAAAATAAAACAGCCGTTATTCGGCCATCTTTGATCTGATTATGAAACACACTGATATGTATGATGTATGTGCCAATACCAATGAAAATGGTACATAAATTGTGGAAATATAGAAGTAAGGCCAAAAAGTCAGAAGGCTGTCAATCGGCCATCCTTGACCAAATTTTGAAACAAATTGTCATGGACATGCATCCTAACATGTATAAAGTACATGTATGTGCCAAATTTGAATGAAAACTGACAAAGCACGTCCAAGATACTGCATAAAAAACAAGATGCCTGCCAGTCTACTATTTTTGATCCAATTGCAAAATGAATCGTCATGAACATGTATCCTACGGTAACATGTACCGGTATATTCTATGTACCAAGTTTGAATGACAACTGACAAAGCATGTGCAAAATACAACATTTTCAAAAAACAAGATGGCTGCCAGTCGGCCATTTTGAATCGAATCGCTAAACCACTGCATGTGCATATGTCCCACATAATGTACTAGGCACATGCAAAGAATGAACAGAATCGGTCCAAGGGATTCTGAGATGCGACTCCGGACAGATTGACGCAGGGACGGACGGACGGACAGACACAGGAACTCACGGACGGTCGGGACATGTATCCTAACATGTATAATCTATGTACTAAATTTGAATGAAAACTGACAAAGCATGTCCAAAATACAACATTTTCAAAAAACAAGATGGCTGCCAGTCGGCCATCTTTGATCCAATTGTGAAATAAATCGTCATGCACATGTATAATCTATGTACCAAGTTTGAATGACGGACGGACGCACAGAGACCGAATTACAAGTCCGAATGGGGACTAATAAAATCCAGTGAATATACTTTTTTTTTCTATATGTCACATTAAACTCATCAATAATCAGTGAAAATAAATTTCATACTAGCCTTCTCAGTATTCCACAGTATATCAGATTTATTATTATATTATATATTAAACTTGTACAACCATCAACTCAGAATGTATGAAAATCATGTTTGATAAATCTGATTTAATGGGTCTCTCGACTGATACCCTCTTTTTATTTGAACCACAATTTCTCATTTTCGGAAGAGAATTCATCAGTTTTTTGAATCACACGATTTTCATTTATCCTCAGGCCAACATGATAGGAATAGTTAGGAATAACATTTTGCAGTTTTATAAGCTCTGAAGCAGAAATGTTGTAAATCTGAACAAAATGTACCTGGTACCCTACCTGTGAGAATATACACACACGCATGCATACACATGTCTACATAGTGATGACATACCATTAACATGTTAAATTATATTTGATTAAATTTAGATATAGTTTGATTAAAAATGCAATTCTGCATTTTAATTGGAGTTCAGTTAAATAAAAAAGAAAAAAATGTGAGGCTTGTCACTTGATAGGTCTGTTATTGAATGAAAGCCGTCACAATGCTGATTCCACCCACACACACACACAAATAACACACCAATAAACGTTAAGATGAAAAATGTTTAATTATACAATGTCATCAACCATATCATTAATTTAATCTGATATACATATATATGTATGGCAAGTCTGCAAAGCTAAAAAACAAACTAAAATCACACTAAACTGCAAAAGCTAACAAATTACCAAGGAGTGATAACTTGGTTGTCATCCAGTCACAATAAGGCCCATGTAGGGGATTATGGTTGATTCTAACCTTGTCACCCAAATACACCGAGGTCATCAATCTGCATTCTTAGGTCAGTAATATAGTTGAACCAACTCTGATTATGAATATGCAAAATAATAATAAATTATGAATTCTATATGGTAACAAAATTCCGAGATGAGAGTGCTATTGACATTGCAATGTGAAAATACTTTAATCCAATTCAAGTGGTAGATTCCAAGATGAGAGTGCTATCGACATTGCAATGTGAAAATACTTTAATCCAATTCAAGTGGTAGATTCCGAGATGAGAGTGCTATCGACATTGCAATGTGAAAGTACTTTAATCCAATTCAAGTGGTAGATTCCGAGATGAGAGTGCTATCGACATTGCAATGTGAAAGTACTTTAATCCAATTCAAGTGGTAGATTCCGAGATGAGAGTGCTATCGACATTGCAATGTGAAAGTACTTTAATCCAATTCAAGTGGTAGATTCCGAGATGATAGTGCTATCGACATTGCAATGTGAAAGTACTTTAATCCAATTCAAGTGGTAGATTCCGAGATGATAGTGCTATCAACATTGCAATGTGAAAGTACTTTAATCCAATTCAAGTGGTAGATTCCGAGATGATAGTGCTATCGACATTGCAATGTGAAAGTACTTTTAATAATCCAATTCAAGTGGTAGATTTCGAGATGATAGTGCTATCGACATTGCAATGTGAAAGTACTTTTAATAATCCAATTCAAGTGGTAGATTCTGAGATGAGATTGATATTAAAATTGCAATGTTAAAGTATTTTAATCCAAATCAAGTGGTTGATTCACTTCCACGTCTTCATCTTCTGTAAATAGACTTTGGAGAATATTACCTGTAAAAGAATAAGTCACAAATTGAAAGAGTGAGTTCCGGACTAATATCGAAAAGTCGCAAATGTTCAAGATCATGTGCAAGGAAACACTAAACACACATTAATACTGTAAAATGACAAATTTTCACTGGGTTTAAATTTCGCTGTTTAACCATTTCAGGCATATTCAGTGGGTTTTAAATTCACGGTTTTATCATTTATATAATGTGTCCTATGCTAAATTTTACATACTCACTGGGTTTTAATTTTCTGCATTTTCCAGTCAAGGAAATAAGCAAAATCAAAACCCAGTGAATAATTAAGCCTTTTACAGTACATCTAGACCCTTCTTCGAAACCAATATGATGCTGTGTAGTACTCATTGTTTCTATAAATCGCCACCATTTCAATGAATTTACTTGCTAATAGAGGTTTATATTAGTGCTAAAGCTATGACATTATGAAAACCTCTAATTTTGATAGTGGTGATATATAAGAAGAGTTTGTGTATATTTAACATACCAAATACACCTCCTGGCTGCATAGACTCTTCGGCCAATGGGGGCATTCCAAAAAACAAATGCCCAATGCGACTCAGATAATCAACATAACTTGGATCTCTTTTGATTGCTGGTTCGTATTTGTCACATAATACTGAAAATATAGTTGTTTTTCCACTAAAAAACAAAACAGAGAGACTTGAATAGGCCTGGTTCCCTGATAAAATTATTTGCAAATCATTAAGACTGTTAGACATCAGGATCATTAACTTACCCTGGAAGTGCTAAAAGTAAAAACCAAATGAAGTTCAACAATGGTTGCATGAATGGCGGACTCTCTTGTATATCAGGATGTTTTTCTGTGTATGTATAAAATACAACTGAAGCTGTCTCCTCATTTTTCAAACATAGATACCTACAAGAGATTGGACATTTTGTAAACACAATGCTGTTGTAACAAAAATACTGTAAACCCATTAATTATTCACTGGTTTTGAATTTGTTATTTTCACTGATAAGTAAAATTCACTAAAATAAATCAATGTGAACATGTAAAATAACAATAGACCTCATTGTTTCCCTGCCAAGTTCTCAAACTTAAAACCCAATGAAATTGCTCAATACATCAAAATAGTGAAATTAAATGTCAGTGAAAATAAATGGGTTTTTATTTATAATTTTGAAAATAACATACACAGTGCTTAGTTGGTAATCTTTGTCTGAAATAACTATTCAAAATAGTTAAACGTTTCCGCAATGGTCCTTTTTTGGTAAAATATAATGTTGCTGTGGGAATGGCACCAATCAATTTTGTGGGAAGTTTTCACAAATGTTTGCTAACTTTAAACATTGATCTTAGCTACATATATTATTAACATATTCTTGATATTCTTTAAACATTATTTTCATTTTTAAAACCAAAAATTGACTAATATATTGGTCAATATTGAGCCAATTATTTTACCGTCTACCAGAACAACTAACATCAGGTCTTGGTTGTGTAAACATCCCGTGTCATTACAATAATACCTATGTTCGACCAAAGATTTCATTTGCAATTGCTCAATTAGAGCATTGTTGAATTGTTGTGTACTACTATATTATTGGGCAGGTTCAATATTATTATTTTATTATTATTTAATAAAGAAAAAGATTTCATTTAGCGAAATATTCACCTGTCAAGAATAGTTTACATTCTAGTTACAAGGACTGAGATTCAAAACTAGTCGATAATAAGTTGTTTAAGTTAATATGAAATATGTTTCCCTCAATCCATAACAAGGCAAGGTAGGAATAGAACGGTATACAACGTCATAAAAGGTAACTTCTACTCACTGTAATACTATCTGTGCAACAAACATATCATATTCACTGCGTAAACCTTGTCTTAAAGAGTATTCAATTAACATGGTTGCACAGGATTGACCATCGAATGAATGGAGAAAATGATATCTGGCTTCGTAGTATGATTTCTCTAAAATGAAACATAATAAAGCAAATTAAAAAAGGATTTATCACCAGAGAACACTTAACAGCATAGAAATCTGGTGTTACGTGTAGTCTACTATCATAAACATAGATAATAAACACAATTATCGTATTTGCTCTATTAGTAGCACTTACGTAAATGACAGAAATGTGTTCATGGTCAAAATCAGTGAGCCCTCTGTGCTGATCCAACTAGTTATGCACATTCCCAGGCTCCTCTTTGACTCAATAGAAAAGAATTTTAGAAACGATATAGTCGTGAAAACGAAAGAAATCATTTTTTTTTGCACATTTTTGCAGTTGACGACTCCTCTGTTTTAGTGATCCAGTATACTGTAAAAGCAATTTAGAGTAATTATTAAATTAAACAAAAAAGCCAAACTATCGGTCCACTTTTATTACACAGTTAAATTTTTTGATTTGAACAAGTGAGTTAAGATAGAATGCTACTTGTGAGTTTTTTTTTTTACATGTACACGCATTTTAAAGCATATAACAGTTGATAATATAAATTGACATTTTATCAACAGTTTACAAAAACCATGATAAAAACCCACAAAAATTTGTAATACTTCTAGACATCAAAAAGTAGTTTGTAAGACACTATATATACATGTATATCTTTTCCCACCCACATGGCACAGAGAAATATTGTGAGATTTTGACGATGGTTAAATGCCCTAAAAAAGAGTGGACTGTTATTTTCACTGTATTTCATGTATTTTCACATGTATACCCCATATTTTTAATTAATTTTCTTCATCCTTGCAACATATATCAATATGTAAAAATAAAACAATAACAATATTTTTACTCTTGTGTAGCGTTCTACTTTAAAGGAGATGCATCTCAGATATGGGGAAAAACTTTGTCTTGAAGCCTCATGTGAAGCTCTTGAGTTTTCTTGGAGAGTTCCATTTTGGAGGTGGGTAATTGGAGGGGGAAGGGAAGAGGGAAGGGGAGGGGGACAAAGACAATGGGCAATATTGCAGGCTTTTAATTTTAATCAGATTGTGTCTCTCTTACCTTTCCAGAGAATTAACGCTAACAGTGTATGAAGCTCGGGATGACCTGATTTATGCGAAGGGTCATTTTTACAAGACCACTTCAATGCTGCATTTTTATAAAGTGGTCTTTCTGTTGAGTCCGGACCTAGTTGTGTGAACAGACTGGAAACTTTATCTGAACAAGACACACACAAAAAAACACAAATTATTTTCAATGCAAAACATAGAACATATTTGCTTATATTTGGTAATGTCAGACAAAATGACAATATTCTAGCATGAGATTTATTGTTAATTATTATTATTTACCTAAGTTATCTGCAGCAGGTGCTGTATTACTAGTATTGAGGACTTCTATCAATAACATACATAAATCAGTACCACTGCCATGCTATAAGAGATATTAAAACACATATACATAATGCACAGTCTGGATGCTTTATTGCACTATACTGTAAATTTCTTTATTTTTGCTTGGGAATTAATTTTCGCTATTTTCAATGAAGGAATGATTCAGTGAAAATAAAATTCAGCGAATATACCTTTTATTCTTATATTTTACATTCAACCAGTCAAAAATCAGTGAAAATAAATTCCATACAAAACACCTAAAAAGTATTTTTGGTGAAAATTAATTCCAGCTAAAATAAAGTACATGTGCCCAGCTGGCCTTGCTTGGATGTGGCATTGCATTTATGTTAATTATAAAATCAGCAATTTTTTACAATCTCGTTTCACATGACAGCATTTAAAAGAACCAAACCATCATTAGTTACAAATACAGATCCAGCAGAAATTCAATGTGAACCGTGTGAACATACATAAACATGGATAACAAATTTCACTAGATCTAGGACCAGTTTTCTTACAGTGTAATTCACACAATGCAATGTCAATCATTCCCCATCAACAGATAAAATATTGAACCAGCAAGTATTATTTTTGTATCACACAAATCACAATTATGCACTTGTTTGATGGATTCGTAATAATAAATTATTGTTGTTTACCTGGTTATGTGTTAACAACACATTTGCACCTGAATAAATCAGTTCTATTGCTTCAGCATGTTTTTTTTGTGCCATGTATCTAAAATAAAGCAAAATATCATTCACTGAAAATAGGTAACTAAGAGTTGGATTACATCAAACAATAACATCTGTTGTGTATTGAAAAAAAAAGTTAGACAAAAAAAACGGGTTTGGGATGATTTTGGGGTTTAATTTTTAATTTTATTTTATTTTTGTATTGAGATTATTCAATACCACAAAAAGATATATGCTTTCGAACACATATTGTCGGCCCCATGTATTTTTGCATTGACTTGACCAGATAAGGGATAGAGGTTGTATTGGATCGACAAAACAAACGTAAAGTGTATGACGCACTCACCCGACCGGTACCGGTACATGAATTGCAAAAACTCACTACATTACATGTAACTTGTGTAAGTTATCAAGTTTAAGAAATAACTCAACTTTGAACATGATCAGTCAAGGCATGTCATGTCATGTCAGAGATGTGTCAGACATCAAGGTCCCACTACGATATGTCTGAACAAAATATGTCTATACAAAGACACAAAATATGTCTATACAAAGACACAAAATATGGTC